AGGGCTTCGGAGACATCGAGGAGGCCGTGGTCATCACCGACCGCCAGACCGGCAAGTCCCGCGGCTACGGCTTCGTGAGTGCCCGCGGCGCGCGCACCTGCCGCCGCCCCTCCCCCACCGCCTCTCAGACCCGGCGCGCGCAGCCGGGACTCCGGGGCTTCCCGGGGCCGTCGGCCCTTCCCCCACACTTTCCAACCTCCCCAAATAAGCGTCAGCTTTAACACTAGCGACTTGAATACAGTTTCCCACTTCCTTCCACTCTAGTGTCCCCAAACTTCTCCTCTGAGAAAGTTAACGGTACTTACTCCTGGACAGAACAGCCTGGTGCGGGGTGCCTCCCCTAGGGGTTCTTTTTGCTCCACCTCCCAGGGGATTATCTCTGTCCTTGAAGGCTCCATTTCCCAGCACTTGAACTTAGGGGAAAGAGCTGCAGTCCTGGAGGCAGAGAAGACAGCCTCAAGGGTCCTGAATACTAAATACCCTCCTGTTCCTGGGAGGGAAGACCCAGGGATGGCCTGATGCCAGGGCAGGACCCTCTTTCCCTTTCCTGCTTCCCTCAGCCAGCCACCGAAGCCCCTGACCCTCCGTGTTCCCGCAGGTGACCATGGCGGATCGGGCAGCAGCTGATAGGGCTTGCAAAGACCCTAACCCTATCATTGATGGCCGCAAGGCCAATGTGAACCTGGCCTACCTGGGTGCCAAACCTAGGAGCCTGCAGACTGGTGAGCGTTTGAGCTTTCTTTCCAACCCTTGTTTCTATATTCAGCCTTGCTATCTGTCTGATGGAATACATTGCCCCCGCTCCCCCTTTGCCCCAGAGTGGTGGCCAGCGGTCATGTGCCCTGCAGAGCCAGCCTAGGGCAGCCACCCCTAGCTTAGAAGCTTGCTCTTCTTTCTCAGCAGTGTATAGTCCTAGGGATACCACTCTCAACTGTCTGCCCTACCCGTGGGGAGGGAAGAAGTCAGTTGCTGACGGGGTTGGAGATTAGGAGTCACCCAGAGAAGCCGCTGCCACCTGTAGACTTCTGCTTTGGATGCTTGGAGAGTTCACTAGCAGGAACAGAGGTGGTGGCTGGGATGAGAACAGGAAGCTTACTGTCCTTTGTGACTAGTGTGGCATGCGTGACTCTGCCTCCCTGTGTATGGCCCTAGGACCTTACCCGTATAGTATGCTATTCTAACTGTCCTCTTGTTTTAGGCTTTGCCGTTGGTGTACAGCAGCTACATCCCACCTTGATCCAGCGCACCTATGGGTGAGTGGATATAGCTGGTGTGGGTGGGAGGGCCTTGAGGTGGGACAGCTGTGGGCTTCTGTCTGTCTCAGATCTGCAAGGCTGGGGAAATGGCTGTTTTCAGAAACTGGATTGTGTTTTGGAAGTGTGGAGGAAGAGATAAGACCAACTGTGTTTCTCTAACTCAAAGGGGAGCACTCGCCTTCAAGAGTGGTGTATGCCTTGCCCCCACTTATGTGACACCTCCTCGGCCAGGTGTCACGTGGCCATCTGTGCCTCCACTTTTTCACCTGTGCAGCAAATGTGGGGGCTCGTCCATCCCCAGCGCAGGCAGCCCTCCTAGAGTGCATGCCAAGGCTGAATGGATCTGGTGACCTGGGGTCTTCCTGGGGTGCTCTCTGACGTGACCAGTGCCATGGAATAGCTCCTGTGGGTCTGTACCTGGTGAGGGTTCATGTTTGTGAATGGCATAGTAGGTGACTGTCACTAGTTGGCTTTTTGTGAGAGTCACTTGTTCCGTGTCCCACCTCCTCTCATACTAAAAAGAGCAATAGGCCTGGCAGCTGCTTGGGAAAGGGTTCACACGCTTGAGGGACACAAGCGTTAGGCCTTGCCACTTGGTTTGGACAGTCAGCTGTTTATCCAGTGTAGACTGGCTGTGAATGAGCCAGGTGGGTGGGAACTCTGACACACACATACACACACCGGGTTTGCACTGGCAAGCTTGCCAAATCCTTATTGCTAGGTTTTGTGTCTCAGCCTGGTGGGTGGGGTAGAGTGGGGTTTGTCGGGGTGGGAACTGGGAGGTAGAGTGGGGTGTCTGTTGGGGTTGGAGCTGAACAGTGGAGTGGGGTGGGTGTATGTTGGGGTGAGAGCTGAGTTTGGCCAGCACAGTGGGTCAGATGGCTGGAAACAGTGCTGCTTGCTCTAAGTGTGCTGGTTCTGTGGGACGCCACTGGGATTCTCCACAACTCTCCTTGGGGATTGGTGTGAGCCACGCAGGGGCATATCTGTGGGGAGCTGTGTTCTGGGCCCCAGCCTGCGTTTTCTCGTGTGTTGTCACTGGTCTCCCAGTAACTACTCGGGGTGCTGGCTACCATGGCAGGTAGTGCCAGATCACTTTTTTGGCCTGGGATCTGTTCCCTATGTGTTCTAGGCTGTCTGGTAGGCATTTGGGAAGGCAGTCACTACTCACTAGTGCCTGCCTGGCCTCTGCGGCCCTCAGCTAGGTTCACAGCCTCTGTTACTCTCCAACTGTGCCCCCTTTGGTTGCCTTTCCTCATCTGGAAAATGGGGACAGCACTACTTAAGGACAGCATGCTCTAGTCTCTGAAAGAGCCCCCCCCCTCCTGTCCTCATAGATGGCTAAGTGACTTACCCAGGGGGCGAGGTGTGAACCTGTAAACTCAAGGCAGTGCTTGCTGTCTTTGGGGGTGGGAATGTTCCGAGAGCCCTGGTACTCAGGGGTGTATCTGGCGTCAGGCCACAGTAGTTTGTAACTAGATTAGCAGACTGGTCGTCTACCACTTTGCCTACAAAGTAGCCTCAAAATGTTTGGAGGGTGCCAAGGAGTGTAGACCCAGATGGGCAGGTGGGCAGAGGGACTGGCTGACCTGTAGTGCCATTGGTCCTTGGGTTCCTTTGAGGAACATCCCACTTCTTGCCCTTACCAAACCGTGTGTGTATGTGTGTGTGTTGTGTGAGAGAGACAGAGATAGACAGAAACAGACCCCATGTGTAACCAGGCCTCGCTGTCTGGGTCATTGCTATAAGTGCCCTGCGCTCCCAACTGGGAGGCAGAGTTGGGCTGTCAGCGGCTCCCTTTGTTTTTGCAAACAATCAGGCTGGCCTGGCTGGGCCTGACTCAGCGGTTGGTTTTGTCAGTCAGCCTTGGGCTACCCTGGCTGTGGGCCTGGTGGGAGCTGGAACCCTGGCAGCTCAGAGCCTGCAGGCGCCTGCGTGACTGTACTTTTTTCTTAGGGCTTCTGGGCCCTTGACATTTAAGACTCCCACAACCCGCCTATGAGCCAAACCACTGTTGGGGTCCTCACCTGTCTGGTCAGAACTACCCGCTGTTTACCTGGGTCCCATGCCTGCTTGTTGACTGGGCCTTGTACAGCCTTGCTGGCTGTACAGCCTGTGCCTGTCCGTCATGTAACCGTATCTGTGGGACAAGGCTTGGTGTCTGGTGAAGCTTTCCTCAGCCATTGCAATAGTTTTTGCCAGCCTTCAGGCCTGTGTGGTAATCCCTGCTGGGGATAAGTGACCCAGGACCTTCCAGCAAGGGGATCTCTTCCAGCCCTGGGGCACAGTCAGTAGTGCAGATGGGAGGGAAGGGCTGAGATTATGTTTGTCAGGGCCTCCCAGGGTCAAGGGTGTCTGTCCACACTCAGCCTATGGCTCATGGAGAGCCGAGGTTTGTCTCTGGTCTGGCAGCCCTTGGAGCCTCTCCTGAGCTATATTTGAAGGGCTGTTGCTCAGCAGGCTGTTCTCCCTGTTCTTAAGGGGAACCTTGCTGTGGCAAGATGCCCAGACACTCTGATCCTTTCTCCCCAAAATAGGGCCAGGCCAGGCCCTAGGGGCTGAGGTCAAGCCAGAGTCCCAAGCCTGCTGGGTGTCAAGCTGCACCTCTGGACAGCAGCATTGATGACAGGACCCCGTTGGACTAAGGGACTAAGCGTGGTGTGTGGAGTGTGGAGCGTGTTGATCCCAAGGCCATGGAGAGCCTTGGGGTTTGTCCTGGATGATCCCACAACAGGCCTAGCAGGAAGCTCTGTTGGCCTAAGCTTGGGGCCACATAGACTGCCTGCCTGCCCTCTCTCCCAGGCCCATCCCTCTCTTCCCAACACCTCCCTTGCTCACGTGACAGTTTTTGGATGAGTGAACTCATGTCCCCGAGACCAACAACAATTGGGCATCCTCTCCCTGGCTTGGGTTTTCTTTTCTATAGTCTTCATTTCAGAGACTGTGGTATGAACCTGGTACCCACGTG